GACTTTAGCAGTCGCAGGGAGGTAAAAGTGAAATGATTTACAAATAAAAGATACATATACTCATGTCTATACTAACGTTGAGAAATTCTGTTTTTGAGAAAAGGACCAACTCCAGCCTGAGTCAAAGTGGTGGTAAAAGCGGCCACGTTTGTTTTTGGTTCATGACTCTACCTCCTTTAGTCAATGAATTATCTATTGGAAACAAGTTATCTTCAAACTTAGAGACATAAAACAGCTATTATCCCACAGTTTCTGTGGGTCAAAAACCCAGGTACAGCTTGGCTGGGTGCCTCTGGCCCAAGGTAAAGAAGTTCGTGAAACTCATGCAATTGTAATCAGGCTGAGCTGGACTGAGCTGGAGAACCCACTTCCAAGTTCACTCACATGGCTGTCGTCTGGCCCTGGCACCTTGGTTTCTCCTGATGGGGATTTTCCGTGGGCTGCCTGGGAACGCTCGCAGCACGGCAGCTGGTTATCCAAGAGACAGGGAGCCCCAGAGCTCTGAGACAGAAGCCACGGTCTTTCTGCAACGTATTCTCAGCAGTAACACTCCATCGCTTTGACCGTGTTCTCTTCATGAGAAGTGTGTTACTAGGTCCGATTCAAACTCAAGCAGAGGGACTGCATAGGGTATGCATGTCAGGAGGTGGCCGTCACAGGGGCCATCTTAGAGACCGCCTATACGGCTCCCCTCTTTGCCTTCATATTAATAGTAATAGTAGTAATAGAAGATATTAATTTAGCAAGGTTGGTGTGGGAATTGAATACAATAAGGAGAGGGCTTTGAAAACAGGCCTTAGAAAGACAGTGTGATTATGGGGTCACCTGCAGATCAAATTATGAAGACGAGCCCTGAAACCTGTGTTTTAACAGTATCTCAGTCATGCTTTAGGCACGCTAAGACTTAAGAACCACTTGTATAAATTATATTTTTCCTTTTACTTTACAGATTGGAAAAGAAAGGCAGAGAAATTAGCTGAAAATGAGGTGGATGGGAGGTGAAAGATGAGCTTTTGGAACCCCAGCTCTTTTCCCTGGGCCCTATCCTCTAAATAACTCTCTCGAGCTGGGTCTGTTCCCAGGGCAACTGTTAGTTGGTAGAAATGCTGGCAACACAAATTGCATTTCACAAATTGAAACTCGTCGAAGCAGTGCCCCATCGTTCAGTGTGATCAGTCACCTTCCACCAATCTCTCCTCCTGTGCTCCTGCCCTATGTCAGCTTTTAAAACAACAAATATATTTGGCAAATGACTTCGGCCCGGCAAACACATGCAAACATTTTTTTGATGAGCAGTAACACACCTTGAGGCATGTCTTGGCTTTCTCTTGTCAACAGTAAACACTCATTGTTTTATCCCCCGCCCCCCAAAAATAAAAATGGAGCCATGTCCAGGTGAAGTTTAAGTCAGGAGAAAACAGGCAATCTTACTATCAAATCAAATTATCGGAAGTTGGAAAGGACAGCGAGAGCTCATCAAATCCATGTCCTTCCAGGACAGATAGAATGATCCTCAAAATATCCCAGCTAAGAAGCAAGTCTCTTACTTTATCCCTTGTGCAATCTAGTTCTTGTCTCAACCCTCAACATTATTTATTTTATATATAACTTTCCTATTATAATTTCCTCTTATAATTTACAGCCCTTCCTCTAGTTCTGACCTCAGGAGAAGTGAAAAACAGATGCTCACACAGCTTTCAATAAAAAGGTTATTATTAAGTCACTGCTATTCACTGTTCTGCTGTTGGGAGAGGTGGAGACACAGGTTGTTGCTTCTTAGCTCCTGCTTTGCTCTGCTTGGCCTGCATTTCTGATAACAGGCAGCTCCATTTTTATCTATGAGTATATGAAGACCATAACTCATATTTAGGTCAGCACAACTAGAATAGCCTCGTTTATTTTTTATAAATTCTACCAACAAGTGTTGGGTCCTCTGAGGTGATCTGGCTTAAACAGATGACATTTTAAAATTGCAATCAGTTTTTTCTAGCGCCACTCAAAAGTCAGAAATGTAAAAACTTTGTTAGCTGGCCTTTGATTTCTTTAATCTGATGTGACTGAGTTTTGTTAAAGCTTGGTTTCTTCATCATCCAGAATTAAAATCCAAGACTATTTTTTTTCCTTATTTTTAATTATTTGCATTATAAGGCCCTCTGAGTCACAGAGCTAAATCAATAAGCATTTCTAAAAATTTTACATGAGACTAAATAGTCTTCAGTCTGAATAAGCCCATGAAGAACATGTTTTTATCTATTGTTTCTTTATGATATCTTGTTGGGAGGTGATCAAAAAGAGAGTTGATTTCATAGATGGGAACTTGATATAAAGCTGTCGAGTCTACAGCCATGCCACCCTAAATGTGCCCAATCTTGGAAGCTAAGCAGGGTCGGGCCTGGTTAGTACTTGGATGGGAGACCACCTAGGAAGACCAGGTGCTGTAGGCGTTTAAAGGAAAAAAAAAAAAAAGTTGTCAAAGGTGACCCACCTATGCTGCTGTAAATCCAGAACCTGAACTTGGTCTCCTTGCCTTCAGCCCCGAGTTGTTTACACTAGAAATTATTCTAAAAGCAAACACTTATCAAACTGCATTTCCACGTGCTCATATAGATTTAAAGACACTATTTTTGCTTTGCTTTCTTTCACATTCTCAATGCTGAACATTTATTTAAATTATACCACCACGATGGTTATCTAATTAAGAAACAAAACCCTGATGCAACGTCTAGGGAAATTATCCTCAAAATTTCACAGGCCCCATGCCTTAGAGAAAACTTCTCCTGGTGTTCAAGGATAAATAATATGCTCAGAACAAGCCCTGAAGATAAATGACAAAGCCATCTTACTTACAGGTGGAAAGAATCATGGCTGCACTTCTGCAGGGTGTACACAAAAGAGCCTTTGGTTCTTCAGCGGAGCTCCAGTCACAAAAACACATCTTTTAACTGAAATCATAGCTCGCCCAAGATGTTTCTCATGGGCCAAGTTAACCCCACCTATTTTCCTGTTCTAAAACCTCAGAAGTGTGTGAATGACAACCCAATGGTTTATAGAAGAAAGTACAATAATCTGTATCCAGATCTCTCAGGGTAGTGCTATTAGTTTCTCATTTCCAGTTGTGTGGGTGACTCCAGCACACAACATTTCCAAGAAATCACAAAATTTTAGTAAAAGGGAGCTTAAATATCATCAAATCAAACTGCCCTCTCTGGACAGAGAAGGAAATGGAAGCATAGGTTAAAGGACACACTTAGTGGTAGAAACAAAATTAGATTCTAGGTTTTGGAGTACAAAGTCTGGAATGTTCTGTCCTCCCACTCAGTACAGATACTTCGAGGACCATAGCAGGAAACTTTTTTGGGTGGGAAAGGCAGCTAATACAATAATACACCTACAAGGTGACTAGGGTGTGGCTGAGAAATAAAAAAACAACATCAACAATAAAAAAAAAATCATTTCATTCCACTGGAAAATATAAACAAAAATTAACTAGAACTAAAGAGAAAAACTCTAATGAAGACACAGAATACTCGCATTGCCCTTCCTATTTCCTGTCTCATAGATTAAGATCTCTAAGCATTCTGGGTGGATTCTTCTATTTTTACTTTACCTTTTGCCTTAGCTATGCTTTTATGTAAAAACTTTGTTTTTACATTTCAGTGAACTAGTTAAAGATTTTTGAAAAAATGTTCACAAATGTTGCAAGGTATTATCCACCTCGTCTTCCAAATCAATTCTATATGAAACAGTTAGCAAAAGGAGTGTATTTCTCCCCACTTCCTTCGGTGTCATCTAGCACCTTTAAGCAGCTCCTCAAGATGAAAAGGGAAGTGTGAATGGGATGGGAAGGGACAGGAGGAGTCGAGGAGAGGGAGGAAGGAAGGAGAAATGTGTGACAATGATAGTAGGGTATATCTCGAGTATGACCAACTCCTCGAATAAGCTAAAATTCAGTTAAAAGGTATGTATGTTTTTGTGATGGGGGTACAGTTAAACAGGAAGATAAGGAGGTAGGTGGCAAACAGACTGTGACAAGACTTAGGATAGATATGTTTTCCATTATAAGAGGGATAAGGAAGGCTGGAAGACAGCCTTCAGTGGATGGAGCGAAAAAAGATGGATCTCCAGGGTCGTAATGAAGCCACTGCTCAGAGCAGCCGGCAACAGCTATGTGTTCACACAATGCTCCCCAGCACAGAGGACACCACAGCAGTCCCCAGAGCAAACAGAACTCCTGAAGAAAAACCCTGGTTCTTCCTTGGCTTTCTACCCACACAACAGCGAGAATAATGTGTGGGGCAATATGTAGCCTCTGCTATTGATGACCAAGACTGTTTTTCAACAAGCTCATAAAGAAAAATGAAGTATCTAACTCAGCAGGTGCCTTAGTCAAGAGATTGTAAAGGAGAAACCCACTCAAACAAACTGAATCGTGGGGTCTATTGTGAGGCAATAATAGACAATCTCTCTGATCCAGAAACCCAAGGCCTCCTGGAAACCATCAGTGAGATAGCTCACTATAACAAGCTCTCAGTTTTTCCTGGCCTCTCTGCCAGAACTTGAGCTTCCTCCTGGGTCTTGCTTACAGTGGGGGCAACCTTTGTTTTGAGTCACCTGATCTTTCAACTGCTCCAGAGCCCAGCACCTCCACCTACAGCATCTGTGTCCTGGGGGCAGATTCTTAAGATATAGAAACTGACTGCTGTTAGTTCGATTTTCCACCTAACTCCAATTAGCTGTGGACACTATGGGCAAGGTCACTTAGCCTAAATATGCACTCTGTTGGGGCCCTAAGCTGTCCAAATACCCCAGCCATGGCCACCTAAGTGAAGAGGGGGCATTAATGATAGAAAGGTCCAGACCTTTTTCTCTTCAGTAAGGAATATTTGAGTTCTAGGGGAAAAGGAATTGACGGCTGTAAGCTGTAAGGCGCAAGCCCTAGTCCTAAGAAGGTTAGCTCATATATTACAGAATTCAAAGTTTCAATTAAAAGACAACTCATGTTTCTTATAAATATATAACTTTATATATTATATATATTTACAATATATACAACATACAAATGTTTTGTAATGTAATACTCATGGCAGTCTTGAAAACATATTTTCAAAACCAAAGATGGGTACTTATCCAAAGTGGGTTCATGGTTCCTCCAGAATCCATATTCTAGACAATGCCCCAGGCCTAGATTTCTGTAGATGTCAGAAGGAAGACAAGGGTTACAGGAACATGGCTCTAATACCCTTCCCCTCCCCCAATACCCTGGTCTTCCAATGGTACCAGCTAACATGGACCCATGTGCACCCCTCAAATGGGCAAACCCTGGGGCCAAGGCATGGTACCTATGTGGGCACTCAAGCCCTGTGGAATGGATTAAAGTGAGCGCTTTTAATCGCAACTCTAAGGCAGTATTTCCATAATATGGAAGATTCAGTTATGGAGCTAAGGATGTTTTAATAGCAGATGCTTCAGGTGCTTCCAGTTCGTAAGTAAAACAGTCGAGGCATCCGAGTGCTAAGTAAATTAAAAGTTAGCCACAAAGTGCCATTTCTTCCTTGTGCTTTGGAATCTGGAAGCCACCGATCACAATACTTCTTATCTTCCAAAAGTTTCTTCACATTCAACTAGTTCATCTATTTTGCGCAGCAAATCTTCAAAGGAAGGCCTTCCCTCTGGTTTCTACAATCAAAAATCAAAGAGAAGCTGTGAATTCCAGAGTCCATTCCAAAAATAATTTCTCAAACTCAGATAACATAGCACACTAGAGCAAGGCACTCACTGCTTTGAGTCTGGAACATGCGGTGTTTTCAAATGTATCTGATCTATCCTGCATGTACTGCCACCAGACTAAGCTTTCTACTGTAGTGCTTTGCATCTCCATTCGAGAACTTGACAGAGCTCCTTACTGTCTGCAAAATTAAGTCCTGCTACTTTGCAGTGCCCTTTATAACCTGCCCATCACCCACTCCTTACCTATCTAATTTCATTTCCCAGAAAAACCCTCACATAGGCTCTCTGCTCAATGGGACCCATCTCCACCCTTGTGTATACACCTCCCATTCATTACTGCCTCCTTGCCTTTGCTTACACTGACACCACTCTCTACCCCTAGCACTACTTCCTGCCCAAAAGCCTCTGCTCATCGCAGGCATTGCTCTTGGGAGACTTATAGCAAGTGACCAAGAGTATGGGCTTTGGAGTCAGACAGGACTCTGGCTCTCTGTAGCAAAGTGGCCTTGAGCAAGCATCAACTTCATGAGGTTTGGTATTCTCATCCACAGAGTGATCGCAGTAAAAGCAACTGCACATCAAAGGGTTATTTTGAGAACTAAATCTAAAGCATTTAGTACAGTGCCAAGCACTCTATACATTTGTGCTAATATTATTATTATCTTTAATAATAACTATTATTATTGTTATTGTTATCTTTCAAGTCATTTTGCTGTTTAACCTCTTCTATGAAGTGACATTTCAATACATGGGAAAGGAAAATTTCCAAAAAGTGTGAGTAAAAAGACCCAAGAAAGAGATTTGAAGAAAGAAACCCGCCCTGGTGAAAGAGTAATATGTCCCCAATACGAGAAGCCCCTGAAAGAAGAGCCACTGCCCCAAGCTTATTCCCTGGGTGTCTAACTCAGGCAACTATGGCAGGATTCCCACCTGGTAGTGGGACAGCAGCCTGAATTTATTATCTTAATTATTAGCGTTTTCCACTTCTTCACATTCTTCTTCCTGTTATTCAGAACTGAGTTAGAGGGTTGGCTTCCTACCTAGAATTTGAAATCATGTAAAACATGCACCAACTCACAAGGCTATAAAGACTACACATTATTAATCTAAAAGCCCAGATCCATAAATGTTTTAGAGATTAAAAAAAAGAACAAAAAAAATTTCTATACCTCTTGCCAACATCTCAGCATCACCTCATATATATATTTGGATGCCAACTTTGGCCGGTAGAGTCGGTGGCCTCGAGTAACCATGGTTACCACTTCATAGTTGGTGTTTTTCTCAAAGGGCATTCTGCCTTCAGTGAACACCTCCCACATTAAAACACCTGGAAAAGGGTAAGAGTTACCAAATGACCCACTTCCTCTTCAGAGCAGAGTGGAGCAAAAATGGACCATGTGTCTTACCAAATGACCAGACATCTGATTTGCTGCTAAAGCGGCTGTAATTAAACACCTCAGGTGGACACCACTTCACAGGAAATTTAGCACCAGAAGAACTTGTGTACTGATCATCTAGAACATACCTAGAGTAAGACACACCATAAGTTTACACCTCCAAGTTACAATCTGCATTTTGTTCATGTTCTTTAATTTTTTTCCCCTTAGAATCAAAAACACGGTTGACTGAGGTCCAACAAGCATCCGGTTGAAGCTAAATGTTTGCGTTGGTGGCCACGCTGGTGATTTCCATCTCAGTTCTAGATGGACACGTTGTAACATTAGTATCTATACTTTCACTTTTCTGTTTGTTTTTCCTTTTATATAAGGCAACAGAGGCAGAATACAATAAAATAGTTTGCAAACTTTTTGGCAGCAATTCTTTAAACAAAGTCTTACCCAAAGGCCCCACGTGTAAAACATCTAAAGCAAAGCTGCTCTAAAGGAAGTGGTGCAAAGCGTTTGGAGACACACGTGCTTTTAGCCCCTATAGTTCCACAGAGCACAATTTAAAACTACGGCAAATTAAAAAAGCCAGATAACGAACATGTTTGATTTTGCAGGCCAGACAGTCTCTGTCACAACCACTCAACTCTGCCTCTGTGGTGTGAAAGCAGACACAGACAATACAAAAGCGAACGAGCGAGGCTGGGTGCCAGTTACAATTTATTTACTGACGGTAGTATTTGAATTTCAGATCATTTTTACCAGTCATATTTATAATTTTTTTTCAATCGTTTCAAAGTGTAAAAACCATTGTTGGATCACAGGCTGTACAAAAAGAGGGGATGAGTCAGACTTGGCCCAGGAACCACAGTTTGCTGACCCCCGCTATCACACTGCTCCGTGTTTACCCCTCTTTGCATGTCTCAGGTCCTATCTGTCACCCTGTCTCTTGAATATAAGCTGCATGTGGGCAGGGACTCGTATGTCTTACTCTGTACTATGGTTCAGTCTAACACTGTGCCTGGAACATAGTAGGCACCTGATTTCTTACAGATGGGTGTACGGATAAATGAATAGATCGAGGGAAACAAGGAAAGGCAAACTAAATACTTTTTAAAGTTTTTTTCTAACACTCTATTAAAATTACAAAAATTAAGCAAATAAAAACCCTATAGGTGTGGATATTCTAAGAACTTTACCCCTGAACAGACTGCTGTGAAAAGATTGTATAAATCTAATCTATTCCAAGGAGAAAAGAAAGTAGTGTATTTAATATGCTATACTACCACCTAGTGGTAAGAATTATTAACAATAATTAACAGTGTATACTTGTTTATTTTAATGAACAGCTAGCTAACAAGATTGCCTTTCTGCTTCATCAGTGCAGATTATCCTCACGCTTATTCACTCTACAAGCTAATGTGAATGTCACATAAACCCATGTAATAAAGCATAAAGCAATCATAATTCCTCAACAATTTGTTTACCTGAGAAAAAGCCAAAGCTAACAGTAAAATGGATACATTCAGCAAAGATGTCTTTCGAAACAGAAATAATCTAATTTATTTTATTACCTTACATTGAAAACATCAATGAGCAGAAAAAGAAATGAGCTCCTCTATTAAAAAAATGATGGGTACTACTAATATTTTGCTGATGAAACAAAAGATGTGGTTTCAAAACAGCTCTTAAATAGAAGAAGAAGCTGACATAGTCGATCTGCAAAAGGATTGGTCACAGTCTCATATTTATTTATCCCAAAATTAATAGAAAATGTGTACACAGACTTACCTGGCCATTCCAAAATCAGATACTTTCACAACTCCTGCCTCATTTACTAGACAATTTCTAGCAGCCTAGAAATAACATTACAGTAACATATTAGTGACAAAGTTCCACAATAAAAGTAGAAAAATGTAAATTCAGTTTATATCAAAATTAGTTTAGCCCAGTTGACGTCTGCAGAGGGTGAAAATGTCTCTTCAAAATCTGTTTGTACACCTCTAGAAATGTGCCCGACATATAGTTGACCCTTGAACAGCACAACCTTAAACTACGTGGGTCCACTTACATGTGAATTTTTTTCAACAAATATATACAATACTGCAAATGTATTTTATCTTCCTTATGATTTTTTAAATAACTATTTCTCAATTACAGTTGGCATACAATATTATATACTTTCAGGTGTACAACATAGTGATTATACATTTATATAACTTACGAAGTGGTCTCCCCGATAAATCTAGTACCCATCTGACACCATACATAGTTATTACAATATTACTGACTATATTCCTTATGCTGTACTTTACATCCCCATGACTATTTTGTAACTACGAACTTGCACTTCTAAATCCCTTCCTCTTTTTCACTCATCCCCCTAAACCCTCTCCCATCAAAATGTTCTCTATGTCTGTTTGTTTCTGTTTTGTTTATTTTGTTTTGCATATTTCATATGTAAGTAAAATCATATAATATTTGTCTTTCTCTGTCTGATTTACTCCACTTAGCACAATACCCTCTAGGTCCAGCCATGTTGTTGCAGGTGGCAAGATTTCATTCTTTTTATGGCTAAGTGATATCCCATTGTATACAAGTACCACATCTTCTTTATCCATTCATCTACTGATGGACACCCAGGTTGCCTTCACATCCTGGCTATTGTAAATAATGCTGTAATGAACCTATGGATGCACATGTCCCTTCAAAGTAGTGTTTGAGCTTCTTTGAATAAATACCCAGAAGTGGGATCACTGGGCTCTTCTTTATCTTGTTTTAGCCTTTGTTTTAAAGTCAGTCTATTTTGTCTGGTATAGTATTGCTACCCCAGATTTTTTTTTTTTCATTTCCATTTTCATGAAATATTTTTTTCCTTCCCTTTATTTTCAGCCTGCATGTGTCTTTTCATCTGAAATGAGTCTCTTATAGGCAGCGTATATAAAGGGTCTTGTTTTCTTATCCATTCAGCCATCTTATAGCTTTTCATTGGAGCATTTATCCATTTACATTTAAAGTAATTATTGATAGATATGTATGTGGTTATTGCCATTTTATTACTCACTTTTTTTATTCCTCCTCCCTCTCCCCCTCTTCTTCTTCCTTCTTTTTCTACTTTTTCTTCAAGAAGTCCCCTTAACATTTCTTGTAATACTGGTTTGGTGGTGATGAAATCCTTTCGCTTTTTCTTGTCTTAGAAGCTCTTCTTTTGTCCTTCGATTCTAGATGACAGTTTTGCTGGGTAGAGTAATCTTGTTCATAGGTCCTTGCTTTTCATCACTCTGAAGATTTTGTGCCAATTCTAAGTTTCTGGCATTGTAAGTTTCTGTTGAGAAATCAGCTGACAGTCATATGGGAGCTCCTTGTAGGTAACTAATTGCTTTTCTCTTGCTGCTTTTAAGATTCTCTTTTTGTTTTAAGCCTTTGGCACTTTAATTATGACGTGTCTTGGTGTGGGCCTCTTTGGGTTCATCTTGTTTGAAACTCTGCGCTTCCTGAGATTGTATGTCAATCTCCTTTGCCAGGTTAGGGAAGTTTTCCACCATCATTTCTTCAATCAGGCTTTTGATTCCTTGCTCTCTCTCTTCTCCTTCTGTTACCTTTATGATGCAAACATTGATACACTTGACGTTGTGCCAGAGGTCTCTTAAACTAGCCTCATTTTTTTAAATTCTTTTTTCTTTTTGCTGTTCTGATGGGGTGTTTTTCTGCTACCATATCTTCTAAATCGCTGATTCAATCTTCTGTTTCATCCAACCTATTGTTGATTCCTCCTAAAGTATTCTTCATTTCAGTTACTATATCCTTCATTTCTGACTGGTTCTTTTTTATGTTTTCTATCTCCATTTTTATGCTTTCCATCTCTTTGTTAAAGTTCTCACTGAGTTCATCTACTCTTCCCCTAAGTTCATTGAGCATCCTTATAACTAGTGTTTTGAACTCTACATTTGGTAGATTGCTTGACTCCATTCTTTGAGTTCTTTTTCTGGAGCTTTGTTCTCCTCTTTCATTTGGGACATGTTTCTTTGTCTCCCCATTTTGGCTGCCTTCTTGTGTTTGTTTCTAGGTATTAGGTAGGGCTGCTCTGTCTCCTGGTCTTAGTAGAGAGGCCTTATGTAGTTAGTGTCCTGTGGGGCTTCCTTATGATTTTCTTAATAACATTTTCTTTTCTCTGGCTTACTTTATTGTAAAAATATAGTATATAATACAATAACATATGAAATATGTGTTAATAAACTAGATATGTTATCATTAAGGTTTCTAGTCAATAGTAGGCTATTAGTAGTTAAGTTTTGGGGGAGTCAAAGTTATACACAGATTTTCAACTGTGTGTGGGGTTGAGCCCCTAACCCTTGGGTTGTTCAAGGGTCAACAGTATACACAAGAGTAAATATAGGCTCTTTCGTCCTCGCTACAGAATGGGAAAAAATATTTTCAAATCAAGTATCTGATAAAGGGTTAATATATAAAATATGTAAGGAACTCAAACAACTTAACAGCAAAAAAAAATAAATAAATTCTATTTCAACTTGAAATTTGCTAAGATAATTAATCTAAGTGCTCTTACCACACACACAAAAGAGACAACTATGTAAGAAAATGTGATCTTCAAATATGTGGAAACTAAACAACACACTTCTCAACAACAAATGGGTCAAAGAACTCAAAAGTGAAATAAAAAATTATCTTGAAACAAATGAAAATGAAAATATAAAATATAAAATTTTGTGGAATAAAGCAAAAGCAGTTCTGAAAGGAAAGTTTAGTGTAGTAAGCACATATATTAATCAATAAGAAAGATCTAAAACAAACGACCTAAGTTTACACTTCAATGAACTAGAATATGAGGAACAAATTATGCCCAAAGTTACCAGAAGGAAGGAAATAATAAAAATCAGAGCGGAAATAAATGAAATGGAGAAACAACAGAAAGGACCAACAAAATAGAAAAACAACAGAAAGGACCAACAAAATTAAAAGCTGGTTCTTTGAAAAGATAAAGAAAATTGACAAACCTTTAGCTGACTAAGGAAAAAAAGAAGACTCAAATAAAACAGGAGACATTACAACTGATACTACAGAAATACAGAAAATTATAAGAGACTGCTATGAACAATTATATGCCAACAAATTACATAACCTAGAATAAATGGGTACATTTCTAAAAACACATAACCTACTAAAAGTGAATCAGGAAGAAATGTGAACAGGCCAACAATGAATCAAGAGATTGAGTAAATAAAAACTCCAAACACAGAAAACCCTAGGACAGATGGTTTCACTGGCGAATTCTACCAAACATTTAAAGAAGAATTAATTCCAATACTCTTCAAACTTTTCCAAAATATTGAGGAAAAGGGAATACTTCCAAATTCATTCTACAAAACCAGCATTACCTTGATACAAAAACCAGACAAGAAAATTATAGACCAATATCTCTGAAAAATACTGATAAAAAAAAAATTCTCAATAAAATATTAGCAAACTGAATTCAAGAACACATTAAGAGGATTATACGCCGTGACCAAGTGAGATTTATATCTGGGATGCAAGGATATATATTATCATTCAACATATGCAAATCAATAAATATAATTCATCACATCATAAAAGATAAAAACACATGATGATCTCAATAGTCACAGAAAGAGCATTTGACAAAATACAACGTTCTTTCATGATAAAAACTCTTAATAGATTGATTATAGCAGGAACGTACCTCAACATAATAAAGGCCTTATATGATAAACCCACTGCTAACAATATAATCAATGCAGAAAAAATGAAACTGTTTCTTCTGAGATCAATTACAAGACAAGGCTTCCCACTCTCACCACTCCTATTCAATATAATACTGGAAATCCCTACTTGAGCAATTCAGTAAGACAAAGAAATAAAAGTCATCCAAATTAGGAAGGGAAGAAGTAAAACTGTTGCTATTTGCTGATAATATGACCTTACATATAGAAAATCCCAGAGTCAATCAAAAAACTGTTGGAATTAATCACTGAAGTGACAGTTTACAAAATCAACTTACAGAAACCAGTGGCATTCCTTTACACTAATGATAAAGCATCTGAAAAGAAAATAAAGAAAACTAACCCATTCACAATTAGCATCAAAACCAATAAAACACTTAGGAATAAATTTAACCAAGAAAGTGAAAGATCTGTACAATGAAAACTATAAGACTTTGCTGAAAGAAATCAAAGAAGTAAAAGATATTCCATATTCACGGATGAGAATACTATTGAAATGGCCTTACCACCCAAAGCCATCTAACAAATTCAACACAATCCCCATAAAATACCAAAGGCATTCTTCGCAGAAGTAAAAAAAAAAAA